TCCTCACACAGTCGGGATGTTAGAGGAGTTGTGTGTTCGACGCTGGTTCTCAAACATGCAGCGCTCGCCTGAGACATCCTCAGAAAACGGAGATGTCGGCGATCAGGCGTCGGATACCAAACATGGTGAGGAAGAGTGCTTCCCTGAAACATCCTCACCAAAATTTGGATATTGGAGATGTGGTTTTACGACTTTGATTTTCAAACAATGATTTTTCGCCTGAGACATCCTCAGAACAAACAATGGTTGAGATCAGACGTCTGATATTCAACATAGTGTATGGGGTGGGGTAGGGGGGAGGGTTTCGCCTTATACATCCTCACACCATGGTGATTTGATGATTTGTTTTACGACGTCGGTTCTCAAAAACGCTGCTTTCGCCTTACACATCTTCAGACTAATGATCTGATGGAGGTCGGGCGTCGGCTATCAAACTGTTGCGGGGAGGATATTTCACCTGAGAGATCCGCACAACATGGGGATGTTGGAAGAGTTGTGTTACCATGTTGGTTTTCAAAAATACGATCTCCTACGAGAAACCCTCAGAAACAAAGGTGTAGCTCGGGCGTTGGATATCGAAACTGGTGTGGCGGGGCGCTTCGCTGCAGATACTCTCAGAAAAAAGGAGATGCTCAGTGAGCTCCCAATTCGACAAACCTTTGAGAGCTTGGCTCTCGCCTGAAACATTCTCACACATGGAGGCGTCAACGTAGAAGTCTGACTGTAGAGTGTTTGAATCAAGTTCCTTACCAGATTTGTGGGTCCCTCAATTTCATTGCACTTGTTATAGACAATTGCTTGTGAAACAATGTTGATAACATCCAGAGCTCAACCTCGCACACTGTGATCCGGATGGCGTCCTGAGAGTCGTCCAGACGCTTCAGCAGCTCGGGGTAGATCTCGCGCAGCTGGTCGCTGCTGATCTCCGCCTGCAGCTCCACCATCGTCGCGGAGAGCACGTGGCAGGCGATGCTCCGGTTGTCCGGTGAGAAGGAGTCGTCCAGGCAGCTCTTGAGGATGGGAAGGAGGTCGGAGAATGCCGCGTTCACCGGAGGAGAAGGTGGAGGAGGAGGAGGAGGAGAAGGAGGAGGAGGAGGAGGAGGAGGAGGAGGAGGAGGAGGAGGGGGAGGAGGAGGAGGGGGAGGAGGAGGGGGAGGAGGAGGAGGTTCACCGCGGAGGGCTCCAGCAGGCGCCTCTGGAACAGCTGGTGTATGCACACCATGCCGCCCTTCCGGATCTTGTTGTTGGACTGCCCGGCCCTCCAGGCGCAGTTCGGAATGAGCACCTGTCTCCCACCGGGATCGCGGGAGGGGGGAGGCAGGAGGGCGGAGTATGGGTACGTCGATGGAGTGTGGAAGGATGGAGGACGAGGTGCCTCAAACACATCGATGAATCCAACAGGCCTGACCAGCAAACAGTGCTGAACACGCTCGTCCATTCGCCAGCGTGGCAGCGAGGGCCCCCAGATCTCTTATTCCGACGACGGGACGGGCCGACAAAGAAACGCGGGCAAGGCAAGGGACAGGAACAGGCAGGACAGCGAGGTTCCGACAGGAACAGGCAGGACAGCAAGGGACAGGAAGGATGGAGAAAGGATAGAGGCGGGAGGAGGCAGGAGGAACGTGCTGGGCATGCTGCCAAGCACTGCGTGCTAGGATGAGGGAGGGACCAAGGAGAGAGTTTGGGAGGGAAATGGTGAGAGGGAGGATGCGGGAGAGAGGTGGGAGGCGTGAGAGTGCAAGTGGCAGGTGGGAGAAAGAGGAGTCGAGACAGGAGCCGGGGGGCGAGGACGAGGCGGACCAGGGAGAGCAGGTCCGAGGAGGGGGTGGGAGGGAGAAGTGGAGAAGTGCGAATATGATAAGAACGTCGAAGAGGGGGAGGAGAATACGATGAGGAAGATGCGAAGGGAATGGAAGGACGAGGAGGAGCGAGCAGGAGGAGAAGGTGGGAGAGGATGATAAGGAGAGGAGGGAGGTACGAGAGGAGAGAGGAGCACGCAGAACGACGCCAATAAGATGTCATCTCGCCTTAGCAATAAACAGCGGGCCAACCTTTTCAAGACGGCCGTCGACAGCGATGTTGCCGTGCACGCAGAAGACTTGGCAAGGCTGGCACAGGCTACCCCGAGGTCACAACGTTCGCTAACACTAGTCCGTTGAGGGCTGAGCGTCTGCTGCAGCAGAGGGGCCGCGGAAGGACGCTTTTTCTGAGGTCGACGTGACGAAGGGCAACGCCAGAAGCAGTGAGATCGCCTGGTGGAATCAGGGCTGCATGCAGGAGCTCAGTGAAAATCGGGAGGAGCTGGCGGCTGCCTGGGCGGCGCCCGGACTGCCCGCGGCACCCGCGACACGGCGGGGGGGATCATCGGCACCATGGCCTCGGAGACGCACTGGCACGAGCCAATGCAAATCAGGGTCAGTCAGGCTTTGCATCACTCTGAGGAGGAGGAGGAGGAGGAGGAGGAGGAGGAGAAGGAAGTGGAGGAGGAGGAGGAAGGGGAGGGGGGGAGGGGGAGGGGGAGAGGAGGAGGAGGAGGGAGGAGGAGGAGGAGGAGGAGGGAGGAGGAGGAGGAGAGGAGGAGGAGGAGGAGGAGAGGAGGAGGAGGGGGAGGAGGAGGAGGAGGGGAGGAGAGGGAGGAGGAGGAGGGGGGAGGAGGAGGAGGAGGAGGTGGAGGAGGAGGAGGAGGAGGGGGAGGAGACGGCGCCTCCGTGGAAGAGTCCTGACGGCGCTGCCAGCTCCAGTAAGGCAGATGCTGCCGAGATTGCATGGCAAGCATGCGCGAGGGGCAGAGAGGAGAGGAAGGAGGAGGGCCAGACGGACAAGGTACAGAAGCAAAGCTCGAGGGAGGTGGAGTCAATGGCGTCGTGTGTGCACCCCCGATGGTCCAACCAGCCCAGTGTACGAATTCTCAAAAACCGCTACTGCAGCGGAGCACGGACAGCACAGAGCAACTAAACTCCCATGCGGCGACGTGGATGACGAGAGAAACAAAATCCGGTGTGGTGCCACCGATGATAGAGATGAGGCCCAGATTGGAGGCGGGAGCATCCAAGAGTAATCAGGAATGCAAGTCGCAGCTATGCGGCATTCGAGCTCGAGCCAGGGTGGTAGCTGTCAGTCTGGCAAAAGCTACGGGCCAGATGAACGGACTCAACTGCCCCAGGGTGCAGAGCGGAGTCAAGAGTCAGCGTACACGTCACCAGGCCATTGCCAGAAGAGGGGAAGGCAATACTCGGCTGGGACGGGCGCTCGTTCAGAGGCCAGCGACAGGACACTGGCGTTGGCGATTCTGAACGGAAGGCAGCAGAAGCCTCGTCTAAGAGGTGGGGCTGTGCCTCATGCAAGGGTTGTGGCAGCGTATCGAGAAGAGACGTGGCTCGTCACTGGGGTCCACAGTCGACCCCAGAGAGGCCGGGATGGCGCTGCTTGCATCTGCCGCGGGGCGCGGGAGGCTTGTCTCGGCTCTGGATCCAGCCTGACTCAATGCTAAACAACACTGGAAGGGAACGGGTACCCCAGATTTCATTGTAAAAGCAGGGGCGGTCACAACCCTCCCGGGCAAGCAATTTGAGACCCCCCGCCAGACCCGCTACAGCCGGCCTTGATTGGACAGGACACGCGAGTGGACACAAGACCCTTCCGAGGGCCACGTTGCCACAGAAATGCAGGAGGCATGGGTCGCAAGACACAGGACACGAAAATACCCTTGATCTGGCAGGGTCGACCTACTAATCCGGGCCGCCTGTATGCAAGGGCGGCCGTTTGCTCAGACCCCGGAAGCCTCCAAGACACCTCAAATCAGACCCCACACATCAGACGCCACCCATGTATTGTGAAGGTGTAGGAGGAGCAGGGAGGGCGATACGGACACTGCGATTACTATCTGATCGGAGCCCGTGCAACGTCAACGAAAGGAGGGCCGCGATTCTACAGTGGGGTTCTGACCCGCGTCGCCCCCCCACACGCAAACACACACCCACATAAACGCACATAAGCACACATAAACACACATAAACACACACACAACACACAACACAACACACACACACAACACACACACACAAAACACACACACAACACACACACACATACACGAAGCGTGTTCGCCAGATCCCCGTTCGATCCAGCAGAGGCTGCTGGATCGAACGGAAAACCTGGTAATTCATATGTTAGTTGTAAACACGCGCACACACAAAGGAGGCAACTACATAGATCGCTAGCCCCTGGAAATTCTTGCGGGTGCAGTGTTCTCAGTTCTTGCGGGTACAATTTCCTTCATCCAACGGCCGCAAATCCTTCCATCTGGGTTCTTACGTGAAAAACTATGCATGCAATTGGATCTCACTGAGTGTGTGCAAGCTTCTCGTGGAGCGATTCGTCTACCTTCCGGATCCTGCTTTTTGAATGGAAGCTTCGTGAATCCCCTTCCATCCCCCGGCAGAAATGTAGACTATCAACGAGCAGCGTGGACCCACAAAAAGTGGGATCCACGGGACTGTGGATCTGCAGACCAATGCTTTGATTAGGTCCGGCGTGTCCCCCTGCGGGCGGATTTTGGACGAAAAGCAATAAGTACCAGACACATATCTTAAACATATCAACAAATTCTCAACAAAGCGTCCGCAGACTTTTTGTTTTCTCTTGTCATAAAACAAATCGCTATTTTTGAATATTCCTCCTGTTGAGGGACGTGCCCGACTTAATGCTATGATTATATGGGAGGTGGTCCCAGTGGGTCGGCCGGTTGGTCGTCGCCGTCGTCGGTCGCTCGGTCGGTCGGTCGGCGCGTCGGGCGGTCGGTCGGTCGGTCCGTCGGTCGGTCGTCGTCGTCGTCGTCGGTCGGTCAGTCGGTCGGTCGTCGTCGTCGGTCGGTCGGCCCGTCGTCGTCGTCATTTGGGGCTCAAGACAACAACTTTTGGCCTGCGTAAACGCAACTACCCTTCCGACTGTTGCATAGCTATGACAACGTTGCTGCCTGGATTAGCTGAACCACATTGAATCTCCGTGGGAAACAAATGAGGGTGCTTGTCAGGGTTGAGCTGCATGTCTGGTGCGCAATGCATCTTTTCGAGACGGGGGGGAAACTGAAGGGCAGGGAACACGCGATGCACCGCATTACCACAACCTCCGGATGCCAAGTGCACGCAGCCTCCCCCTGCCTGCCAGGCCCGATGCAGACAGAACAGCCTCTGGCAACGACGCACATGCATGGTTGACGAGGTCGGTGCAAGAACGGCACCACGAGGAGGGAACAGGAGGGGGGAGGATGAGGAGGAGGACGAGGAGGAAGGCAAGTGGGCGGCGTGGTTGCCAAGAACGGCAGGCACGCGCATCGGTGCATATACTGCTTAAGCTGTTGAGCTGCATGAGATCGAGAGCGTGCTCACAGGCGGCTCTCATCATGGTAGCCTGTACTTCTAAACTTGCAGCTTGTGTCTGTGATCCACCCACTCTCCGCTGTGAATTTGGGAATGATGGTCTAGACATTGCGGCCCGGAACAGACTTGTAAGCAAGGGTTCCACTTTGAATTCTCAACTCTGGGCCAGGCGAACACACGACAACTGCATGGTTGACCCGCCTGGCGTCTTGTCCACGGCGAGACCGTACCCGGCAAGCAGACCCCCTAGCGATTCTTGCTAGCTGCTGGCCTGCCCACATAGAAGAAACAACGCCATAAACATAAATTTTCGGCGCTCTGCGCGGATTTCTTGGATCCGCGCCGGACCCCGCTCCCTGGCGCGCGGTGCGCGCCAGGGGCGGCGCTGGAGGCGCCGCTGGGGGTGCCCAGCGCGGATCCAAATCCGCGCGGAGCGCCTCAAGTTTTTGTTTATGGCACTTTTCCTTCGATGACCAGCGCGCAAGCACAGGGACATCTCCAAGCCCCAGGCAGCACCTGCGCTTGGTGGGCTCTCGCCCGGGCTCTGAGGGGCTGGCCCCCTGTTTCGGGGAACAAAAAGTGACATGAACATAAAAACTCGGAGGTCCGCGCGGATTTCTCGGATCGGCGCTGGGGCCCCCCGGCGGCGCCTCCGGCGCCGCCCCTGGCGCGCTCCTCGCGCCAGGGAAGGGGGTCCAGCGCCGATCCGAGAAATCCGCGCGGACCTCCGAGTTTTGATGTTCATGCCACTTTTTGTTCCCCTACTGTTGCGCAGCCGGCCGCAGGTGCGTGGACCGCAACGGCATCGGCCGCCGCCACGGCCTGCCTCGCGGCCTCCAGCTCTTGCAGGCCCCGCGCGCTCTGCGGCCTCGGCCCTTCCGCGCCCTGGCTGCTGCGGAGCGCCTCGTGCGGCACGCCGCCGCCGAACTCTTTCGTCGGCGGCCACTTGGATCCAAGGAGCGGCAGGACAACGGTGGGGCGAACCGAACCAAATTTCAGGCGCGGGGGGAGGAGAGGAAGACCGAGGGGACGAACAGCGGGGAAAGGTGGGAAGAGGAAGCGTTCGATGGGAGGGCCCTCGGAGCGTGAGGTTATTCGGAAGGCGCCGGAGAGGCCGTACGCGCAGAGCAGCCGAGAAGGACGCACCAGGGTACGAAGGGGGTGCACGCCGCCGACGACACACAACACACACACACACCACACAGACACACACAGCACACACTGTACACACAGCACACACAACACACACACGACACATACACACACGACACACACACAACACACAACACACAACACAGGCACAACACACACACACACACACCACACACGCACACACACGCACACACAGGCACGTACGCACGCACGCACGCGCACGCGCACGCGCACGCGCACGCACGCGCACGCGCACGCACAGGCACGCACAAGCACGCGCATGCACACGCACGCGCACACAGGCACACGCATGCACACGCATGCACAGGCACGCACACGCACGAACACGCACGCACACGCGCGCACAGGCACGCACAGGCACGCACAGGCACGAACAGGCGCGCACAGGCACGCACAGGCGCGCACAAGCACGCGCAGGCACGCACAGACACGCACAGACACGCGCACAGGCACGCACAGACACACACACACACACACACAGGCACGCACAGGCACGCACAGACACGCACAGACACGCACAGGCACGCACAGACACGCACAGACACGCACAGAGACGCACAGACACGCACAGACACGCACAGACACGCACAGACGCACGCACAGACACGCACACAGGCACGCACAAGCACGCACAGACACGCACAGGCACAGACACGCATACACGCACAGGCACGCACAGACACGCACAGGCACGCACAGACACGCACAGACACGCACAGACACGCACAGACACGCACAGACACGTACAGGCACGCACAGACACGCACAGACACGCACAGACACGCACAGACACGCACAGACACGCACAGACACGCACAGACACGCACAGGCACGCACAGACACGCACAGGCACGCACAGACACGCACAGACACGAACAGACACGCACAGACACGCACAGCCACGCACGGCCATGCACGGGCACGCACAGGCACGCACAGACACACACACAGACACACACACACAGACACACACACACAGACACACACAGACACACACACAGACACATAGACTCACAGACTCACAGACTCACAGACACACAGAAACACAGACACAAACTCAAAGACACACAGACACACAGACACACAGACACACACAGACACACACACAGACACACACACAGACACACAGACACACAGACACAGACACACACACAGACACACACAGACAAGACACAGACAAGACACACGCACACAAACACACACAGACACACACAGACACACCCAGACACACCGACACACACACACAGACACACACAGACACACGCACAGACACACAGACACACACACAGGCACACACACAGACAAGACACAGACAAGACACATACACACAGACACACACACAGGCACACACAGACACACACAGACACGCCGAGGCACACACACAGACACACAGACACACATATACACAGACACACACAGAAACACAGACACACAGACACACAGATCCACAGACGCACGGACACAAAGGCACACAGACACACAGACACATAGACTCACAGACTCACAAACTCACAGACACACAGAAACACAGACACAAACTCAAAGACACACAGACACACAGACACACAGACACACACAGACACACACACAGACACACACACAGACACACAGACACAGACACACACACAGAGACACACAGACAAGACACAGACAAGACACACGCACACAAACACACACAGACACACACAGACACACCCAAACACACCGACACACACAGACACACACAGACACACGCACAGACACACAGACACACACACAGGCACACACACACAGACAAGACACAGACAAGACACATACACACAGACACACACACAGGCACACACAGACACACACAGACACGCCGAGGCACACATACACAGACACACAGACACACATATACACAGACACACACAGAGACACAGACACACAGACACACAGATCCACAGACGCACGGACACAAAGGCACACAGACACACAGACACATAGACTCACAGACTCACAGACTCACAGACACACAGAAACACAGACACAAACTCAAAGACACACAGACACACAGACACACAGACACACAGACACAGACACAGACACAGAACAGACACAGCCACAGCCACAGCCACAGCCACAGCCACAGCCACAGCCACAGACACGGACACACAGACACACAGACACACAGACACAGACACACAGACACACAGACACACAGACACACGGACACACAGAGACACAGACACACAGACACACAGACACACACACACAGACACAGGCGCACACACACACAGACACAGACACAGACACACACAGACACACACACAGACACACAGACACAGACACACACACACACAGACACAGACACAGGCACACACACAGACACACACACCCAGACACACAGACACACACACACACATACAGAAAAACCCACACACACAGGAAGTCGGGCGTTGCTTGGTGGGGAGAGCGATAATGCGTGGGTCGGTGGGGGGGAGAAACGCGCACCGTTCGTTCCCCTCCAGGGGCCCCCGTCTGTGGGGGAACGAGTGGGTACTCCCCCCGCTGCTCCTGGACCTCTCCCGGGGTGCGTTCTGACAAGGGCTTCGAAGCAGATCCGGCGGTGGCGTCGAGGGTCTCCCAGGAAGCCCGAGGGAGGGAGGGAGGGAGGGAGGGAGGGAAGAGGAGGAGGAGGAGGAGGAGGAGGAGGAGGAGGGGGATAGGGAGGGGGAAGGGGAGGGGGGAACTGCCTCTTTGGAAGGCAACCGTTTAAAGACCCTGAAGCATGCCAAAACATTGTTCTCGGGATTCCAACGCCACGGATCAGCCTGAGTGGCGCGTCTTGACAATCCGGAATCGTGCCAGAACGCCATTCCTGGGACTTCAACACAGCGAACCAACACAACTGTTGCACCCGCATAATCCAGAACCCTTTCAAAACGCCATGTCTGGCACGTTGGTGGTGGGAATCCGTGAACAAATGTGCGCCGCGCTAAGGCGAGAACCATCTGTTGAAAACCACCCGCCCTCAATCCGTGAAACCCTTGCAACTGTTTGAAACGAATGTGCGCCGTGCTAAAGCGAGAACCACATGTTGAAAACCACCCGCCCTCAATCCGTGAAACCCTTGCACATGTTTACAACGAATGTGCGCCGCGCTAAGGCGAGAGTGACATTTTGAAAACCACCCGCCCTCAATCCGTGAAACCCTTGCACATGTTTACAACGAATGTGCGCCGCGCTAAGGCGAGAATGACATTTTGAAAACCACCCGCCCTGAATCCGCATAACTGCTGCCAACTTTTACGCTTCAGAATCATACATGAGAAGGACGTCTCAGGCAAAACGCAAGACCCGCCCTAAAAACTGGCCTCGGAGTGCGACAGGGATAAATTAGTTAAAAGGGAAAGGAATGGAGGAGGAGGAGCAGGAGGAGGAGGAGGAGGAAGGAGGAGCAGGAGGAGGAGGAGGAAGAAGGGAAGGGGGGAGGAGGAGGAGAGAGCAGGGCGGGGAGCGCGGAGGAGGGCGCAAGGAGGAGGGCGCGGGGAGACAGCGGGCCGCCGCCTCGCTCAGCACCGCGGGGGCGGCGCCGCGGAGCGCGCCCGCCACGGCGGCGTCCTCCGAGCAGATCAGGAAGTGCACCAGACCGAGGAGGTCTATGCGGGCCGCAGCGCTGGCGTCCTCTGGCGGGCGATGGGGGGAGGGCAGGGGGGAAGAGGAACAGGAAGAGAGGGAGGGGGAAGGAGAGGAGGAGGAGCTTGCTTGCTTAATTGCTTGTTTGCTTGCTTGCTTGCTCACGGCTGCTGGACAGTCAAGAACAATGATCCACCCTCTCAGCTATACAGTATGCAATTGCTCCTGCTTGCTGTCACGTGCTGCTACGGGTGATCATTGCCAGAAGAGCCAAGGGACCGAAACGCCACCGACTGGGCCAGAGAGAGGGGGGGCAGAGGGGCCTCTTCCTCCTCCTTCGCTGGGGCGCCTGCTCCTGCCCCGGGGGTGCGCCTGCATGCGAGTCCCTCGGGCCCCGTGCCCCCAGTGCGCGCGGCGGGAACGCCACTCTCTGCGGCGCGTGTCGCAGCCGTGTACGGCGCTTGCGACGCCGTGGCTGCCAGGGAGCACCGTCGTGCTCGGAGCCGCGTCCGCCGACGCTTTTAGAAAACGCAATGGGGAGCAGTTCGGCGGCGACGACACAACCGACGGGCGAACGACGGACGGGGACGACGGGAGGGCGGGTCGAGGGGTGGAATGTTCGGAGCTGCGCCTGTACACTGCACAGAGTGTGCACAGAGTAGCTCAAACAACATCCGATATATATATATATATATATAAATCTGCGTTGCGGTATTAGGCTCAGGCAAGCCGTGAGAGTTGCGATGTGGCAAACAGTTGCTCAGACCAGATACGATTCGGATCGGCCTGCCAGCACCTACAAAACTGTATTGCACCACATGCGGCAGGTACGGATCTGCTGTTAGTGGTATGTAAGAGCTGACCAGGACTTCCTGGCACGCAGCAGCGTAGAGACGATCGAAAGACCCTCTCTCATAACTGCGAAGGCAAAGCCGGTTTCCGGTGTCATGTTGCGACAACGCAGGCGTTCTCCATCAACGAAGGCCCCTCTTCTGTACAACAACCTCGGACTCACCCCTCCCGTCACTCCTCCTCGTCCTCCTCGTGACTCTTCTGCTATTGACCTCGCCGACGGCAGAACTTTATCAACATGCCTTGTTCGTATCCAAAAGGCACGTGCCAAAATTGCATATCCTGAACATGGCAGGCGAGACCCGTGATCCCATCCCTAAACAATGAGTCCATGCGGACTGCATTCAAGGACACGGTCTGCTGCACCCGCTGCTTCAGCGGGCGAGCACGGGACCCTGAGATGCAAAGGCAACCAAGACGTCATACTGTGCCTCCACCACCCCTCTTCCAATGCAGTCTCGCGCCTAGCAGCTGAATGGCTGCTGCATTAGCCCAGCCGCCGTCGACGGCTTGATCCTCGGCCTGCTCCTTCTCGTCCAAGATCTCCTCCTTCTCCTCCTCCTCCGCCTCCTCCTCCGCCTCCTCTTCATCCTGATCTTCCTCCTCCCTCTCATCTTCCTCCGCCTGCTACGCAAGACCAAATGTCGGCCATCTGGAATCCGCCACCGCGCCTCGCTACCGCTACCATCCGCACGCGGTCTCCCGGCTTGCAGCTGCGGCGGCACCCTCGGACGCCACCGACGGTACGCTCCCGAAGAAAGGTAGGAGCGAGGCTGGGGTACCACACTCTGGAGTACAGTACAGGCTCTACGAGGACGGGAGAGGGATGGGGTACAGCGGAGGGGGCAGACGATACGTTTTTCAGTCCTCGCGACAGGTTTAGGAGTAGCACTTTGCGTGGTTATCCGAACATCTTGCCTAAAGTATACGAGGCGGCGTACGCAGGTCTGGTTGGTACTATGCCAAAGGAGGTCACATCGTAGGTCACGAGCTGTAGTAGTGTGCAGCCAATCGCCAGCAAATTCTTCAGCACTTGGCGCCACTAGCAAGTACACAGTGGCGTGGAAAAAAAGCTAGGTCTGGATATGGTACCCATCACACCCTCGAACATATGTATTGACATAGACGTGTCATACGAAGGCGGTGGATACCAAGCTGTATCGCTAGGCTTGGCATCTACTCCGTGCAGCTGCGCACAGCTGCAATGGCGCCGCCCACAGCCAGTGACACTGCAATGCCGTCTACGTCCATGTGGTCATGCGTATCATGCAGATCGTCGAACATGTTCGCATCAATCCTGCTCCTCCTCGTCCTCCTCCTCATCCTCCTCCTCCTCTTCTTCCCTCCTCCTCCTCCTGCGCCTCCTCCTCCTCCTCCTCCGCCTCCCTCCTCCTGCACCTCGCCCTCCCTCCCCTCCTCCTCCTCCGCCTCCCTCCACCTCCTAGGCCGACGCGCCGGCGTCCTCCGGCGAGGACTGGCGCGCGAGCACGGGGATCAGGCCTGAGCTGGTGGAAGGAGGGCTGCACTCCCTATCCTCCTCTTCTCCTCCTCCTCCTCCTCCTCCTCCTCCTCGTCCTCCTCCCTCCTCCCTCCTCCCTCCTCTCCCCCATTCCCTCCTCCTCCTCCTCCCTTTTCCTCCTCCTCCTCCTCCTCCTCCTCCTCCTCATCCTCCTCCCCAGGCCCCCTCGAGTCACAAAAAAAATTACCCTGGCGTTGTACCCAACCCCTGCGCAATGCGGGGCATGCGCAGCTCGGGAGACGTTATACGGAGGTGATGACGTGACATGGGCGCAGATACTTCTGCAAACGGCGTTCGTGAGGCTCGCACCCCCCCAGGGACGGCGAGGTCCCGCTCAGATATGCCTGGTGCCTCGCTTCGCTGGACCCACCAGCAGCCCTCGAAAGCGGCGACAATTTCGCAGATCGCAGCCCCCCAGCGACGGCGAGGTCCCGCTCAGATCCGCGCGGTGCCTCACTCCGCAGGACCCACCAGCAGCACTCGAAAGTGGCGACAATTTCGCAGATCGCAGCCCCCCAGGGACGGCGAGGTCCCGCTCAGGTCCGAGCGGTGCCTCGCTCCGCAGGACCCACCAGCAGCCCTCGAAAGTGGCGACATTTCGCAGATCGCAGCCCCCCCCCAAGGACGGCGAGGTCCCGCTCAGATCCGCGCGGTGCCTCACTCCGCAGGACCCACCAGCAGCCCTCGAAAGTGGCGACAGTTTCGCAGATCGCAGCCCCCCAGGGACGGCGAGGTCCCGCTCAGGTCCGAGCGGTGCCTCGCTCCGCAGGACCCACCAGCAGCCCTCGAAAGTGGCGACATTTCGCATATCGCAGCCCCCCCCCAAGGACGGCGAGGTCCCGCTCAGGTCCGCGCGGTGCCTCACTCCGCAGGACCCACCAGCAGCCCTCGAAAGTGGCGACAGTTTCGCAGATCGCAGCCCCCCAGGGACGGCGAGGTCCCGCTCAGGTCCGCGCGGTGCCTCGCTCCGCAGGACCCACCAGCAGCCCTCGAAAGTGGCGACATTTCGCAGATCGCAGCCCCCAGGGACGGCGAGGTCCCGCTCAGGTCCGCGCGGTGCCTCGCTCCGCAGGAACCACCAACAACCCTCGAAAGCGGCGACAATTTCGCAGATCGCAGCCCGCAGGGACAGCGAGGTCCCGCTCAGGTCCGAGCGGTGCCTCGCTCCGCAGGACCCACCAGCAGCCCTCGAAAGTGGCGACAATTTCGCAGATCGCAGCCCCCCAGGGACGGCGAGGTCCCGCTCAGGTCCGCGCGGTGCCTCACTCCGCAGGACCCACCAGCAGACATCGAAAGTGGCGACATTTCGCAGATCGGAGCCCAGGGATGGCCCCCGTGGCGTCACTGTGCTGGGCCCCCCAGCAGGCCTCGAAAGTGGCGACAGTTTCACAGATCGCAGCCCCCCAGGGATGGCGAGGTCTAATTTGAATCTGCCCGTGGCGTCACTGTGCTGGGCCCCCCAGCAGGCCTCGAAAGTGGCGACAGTTTCACAGATCGCAGCCCCCCAGGGATGGCGAGGTCTAATTTGAACCTGCCCGTGGCGTCACTGTGCTGGGCCCCCCAGCAGGCCTCGAAAGTGGCGACAGTTTCACAGATCGCAGCCCCCCAGGGATGGCGAGGTCTAATTTGAATCTGCGTGTGGCGTCACTGTGCTGGGCCCCCCAGCAGGCCTCGAAAGTGGCGACAGTTTCACAGATCGCAGCCCCCCCAGGGATGGCGAGGTCTAATTTGAATCTGCCCGTGGCGTCACTGTGCTGGGCCCCCCAGCAGGCCTCGACAGTGGCGACAGTTTCACAGATCGCAGCCCCAAGGAGGCAAGACAGGAGAAGGCAAGAGGGAGGCGGGACGGGAAGAAAGGAGTGGAGACCACACTGCTCTATTCAGAACGAATACCCATCCAAGGAGGGTTGGGAAAAATCACGACGCGAAGCTTGTCTCTACATTTCGGGCCTTTGCCGGCCCTCTGGCCGGGTCTCTGGACCGTCTAGCAACGACCCAGGATGAAAAACTGATCCTGGGGAAGGGGTCGAGACCTATGAGGGTCGACGTCATGGAAAAAGTCATGACGTTGGGGGTCTGGGCCCTCTTCGAATTTAGGAGCAGAAATTATATTAGTGACACGCCTCCGCCGGGAACCCGTCAGCGTGTTAGCGTTGAGGAAGCACCTGGCCTTCGGACAGAAAACACAGGATCAACGTGCTGACGGGCTGCCCACGGCAGGGTTGGCCTGAAACCGTGTCACCGTCCCGATCGAAAAGCTTCTGGTGGGCGTGGATCCTCAGACCTCTGGAAGCCTCCTGCGGGGCCCGCCTGGGGTCCCAGGGCAGCTGGGGAGTTCCTGCCTCCACCTGCCTCGATGCCTTCAGGAGGAGGAAGAGGAGGAGGAAGAGGAGAAAGAGGAGGAAGAGGAGGGAGGAGGAGGGAGGAGGGGGGAGGAGGAGGAGGAAGAGGAGGAGGAGGAGGAGGAAGAGGGAGGAGGAGTGCCTAGACTGCCACCCGCGTCCAGAAGGGGCTGGAACGGTGCACCTTGATCCCCCCCCCCTCCCGAACCATCTCCTCCAATGGCCATCTGGCCAAGAACGTTGTGAGTCCATCGAATGAGCGCAAACGTAAGCCACTGTCGAGAAGAAACGGAGGCCCGTCTAGCAACGAGGGCCCTTGCGTACCCACCCCCTATCGAAGGTCGTCTTCGGACGGGCACGGTGTTTTTCCTAACCGGGGAGGAGGCCAGGCCAGGGCGCAAGCCCAGCTGCAGAGCCAGACGAGCGCGGGCACTGCTACCCGAACAGCGCCAAAAGAGGCCACCACCGACGCCACGTCACAGGGAAACGGACCCGCTGGACCGGCTCACCTTCATCCTCTTCGGCTTCGGCTTCCACAAGCAAGTGGTGACCCCACTGGTGCTGACCCGCCTCGACACTGCCACACAAGATCGGCACTCTGAGGACTGGGACCAAACATGCGAAACGACACAGCTCGGAGCGGTGATGCTTGGGGACTGGGACGTGATTGGCGTGTCGCGCCCAAGCGTGATGGGCCAGAACCCCCCGCGTGACACGCTGAGCGCACGTTCCTGATCTCCTCGGTCCCGCTCCCCTCCTGGGGCCCCCAGAAGCCTTCTGAGGAAAAAACCGAGGGCCTTCGAACACGAGGCACAACCCATCCTCCCAACACCCCTTCTCGTACTCTTTCTGTACTCTTCCCCCTGTTTCCCCCTCCTCCGCCTCCTCTTCCCCCTCCCGCCTCCTCAACAATTACACAACTCTTCTCTCCGCTGACGACGTCCGGGAGATGTTCGGCCCCCCTCCGCGTTATGTTTTTTTGCACACAAGCCTCTCGGGAACAGGGTTGTCGCTGGTTTTTATCAACATGTTGTTCCCGCTAATGCGCTGGCCTCATTTTCGGGCTTCCGCTCGTTCCGGACCGTGCTCCCGCTGGAACAATGGCCTCATTTCCGCGCTTCCGCTGGTTCCGAATCGTGTTCCCGCTGCACCGCTGGACTCATTTCCGCGCTTCCGCTCGTTCCGAATCGTGCTCCCGCTGCACCGCTGGTGTCATTATTTACAATGCCATGCCACGGCATGGTTTTTCGGTCCTTCCAAATAGGCCTCCATATCTAGAACATGCTCCCCCGAAGCAGCCGTCGGAAGTGATTACAAGTTCGGTGCCGATTCGTTAGTTTTTTGGGCCGCAAGACCCTCGGCATGCTATGCCATGCTACGCGTTGATTTTCAACGCCATGCTATGCTATGTGATGCTATGCCATGCTGCGACATCCGACTGTGCGAATAGGGATGATATTTACGCCATGGTAAAGCATGAGAGGGAGGGACAGGACATCAGATATGGCGCGAACCCACATAGATTGTCCTCCGCCCCCTCCTCCTCCTCCTCCTCCTCCTCCTCCTCCTGCTCCTCCTCCTCCTCCTCCTCCTCATCCGTAGCCATTTGGGCTCAAAATGCTTTGCTCGACAACGGAACACGTTGATACCGCTAGTCCGCGGCCAGATCCGATCTTTCCAGCGCACCGCTGCGCCAGCCTGCCCAGGCGGCCCAGCTTTCTCCCAGTGCCCAAGGGGCCACGCCTCGTCGCAGTATGGGGCGCCAGCAGCCCTTCTCGTGACGCAAGCAATGTGGCAACTGGGCCTTCAACTTCCGCGTCATCGCCAACGTCGGAAAGTGCGCGAAGTGCCACAACTCCATCGACCTGTTCAAACCCAGCGGCGGCATGGGCAAGGACAAGGCCCCGAAGACCCCAGCTTCCAAGCCGCCATGGGCCAAGGACAAGCCCGCGGACCCAGTCGGATTGCTCCAGATGCTCGCGGCCAACCCTGTCTTCGCTGGCTCGGTCGGCGCCATCCAGGAGCTCGAGAGCAAGTACGCGGCCAGCCTTGTCAAGCAGCGCGCACCTCAGCAGGAGGCCAACCGCACCTCGCAGACCCTTCAGAAGGAGGCCGCCCTCCGCCGCGCGGCCGACGCCCATGTTGCAGCAGAGGCAGCACTCGCCAGGGCTAAGGACGAGGTGCCCGTGGCCACCGAGGTCATCCAGGCCCGCCTGGCCAACGACAAGGCGATCGAGGCCCTCTCGCTCTCCGTCGGCAAGACCACTGGCCCCCCCGAGGGCTACGCGGCGGATGGCAAGAAGATCCTGCTCGCTATCAAGGAGGCCGGCGCCACCCACAATTTGGACGCGTTCGATGAGAAGCAGCAGTCCACCCTCAAGAAGCTCAAGTCGCAGATCGACAAGTACGCATCGGAGGTCGTAGCGCTGCAGAACGCGCTCCAGGTCACGATCAAGACTGCCCAGGACATCCGCGCGGCGCCCGCCCAGAGGCTTCGTGGGGGCGACGGCCGGGCCCGCGCGGGCCCGGGGGCCAGCGCGGCGGCAGGTGCGGCCCCCTCCGCCGCCCCGCCCACGGCGGGCGCCGCCGCCCCCGCCGACTCAGCCCAGGCCCGCGAGGCTGCCATGGCCGAAGCAGCC